ACAAGGACAAGAGGGACCAGACAATGAACAAGTTATGGCTGCTCATTCCATGTCCTCTCCACTCTAGCTAATCAGATCCCAAAACCCCCCAATTTGGACACAACCAGTAACATTCACACTCTTATATCCAAGCTGTCACTATTCACAAGTTACAGGTTCGCAAGAAGAAACCTCACTGCTGACATTTCTAATCAGTAAACCATTCTTTCCAGTGGACTGAAATACAAGCTCTTGTAGACCCTGGATGGTTTATCCAACCTTAATGCAAACACCCATTCACAGCCTTTTCAAATTTGTGCCCCTAGGGTTGGATGGAACACACATGGATCATATCAGCCCAACAGATAGGACGCAGCAGCTCGCGGTATACTGAGACGCCGCAGCTGAAGCGGATCCCGACAATTGTGCCGGGATCCGTCCCATCCCAATTGTCGGGATCCGTCCAGCTGCGTGACTGCCGATCTAGAGGCAGAGCCAGCTGTACCCACCCCTCCCCCGTCCGTTCCGCCAGTCAGCGCTGGCGGATCGGAGCGAGAGGGGGGAATCCAGCCCCTTCCTTGTCACAGCAGAGAGCCGTGACAGGATCGAGAAGTTAGCAAGCGCCGGTATGTGTTCGCTCACCTCCCGATCTACTGAGCCGACCTGTGACAGTCTCATTGTCACAGGTCAGCTAGAACTATGAGGTGAGTGAAAAGCACTCACCTCATAGTTCTCCTTTAATTAGCCAAAATAACACAGGTAGGATTTGGGTGATCAAAATCTTCAAACACTGCAACAAGTTATGAAATACAAATCTGAAAGTATTGGGAGTAATGGTCTTGATGGTTGTTTTGCTACAAACACAGATGCTTTACACCTAGCAGAACCAATGTAAAAAGTACCCATATTTTACAATTAAGCTAACGCATTTGAAGTCTAATCTCTGCGCAACCAGGCTTTTGCAGAAAGTTTTAAAATTGTGCACTGTACAGTATGAAGTTTTGAGGGGGTCATTATTTTCGAAAATCTCACTGACTAAGTAGAAACATTACATCTGGACCATGCAATTTGGAAGCAGAGGCATTGACTGGTATCCTGTGAGAACACCACTCCGAACTAATCAATCCCTGCTGCCAAGATATAAAAATTAAACATTTGGCCTCTCTTGAATACTGTAGATTCAAAATGTCAAGTGTATTATAAATAACTCTTCCTACTTCTATTTATTCCTACACATGAGCCATACTCATGGCAGCCTCCAGCTATCCAGTGGAGTACAGCGCATCTACAGGAATAAAATGGGTCTGTAGCCCACTTAGCTAAATGTACTTTGCCTTAAAAAAAGTAAACACAGTCACCACTTCATGAATTGTAAGCAACAACCTATTCATTTTTTTGTCTGATATACTTAAATGATATGTGTCAGCATTTCTCCAGAAAGAAACAGATAGATACCTGTGTGGTTTTTCCAGAACCAGTCTCTCCAACCAAAACAAAGGACTGGTTCCTGGTAAGGATATCCGTAAACCGTTCCTTGTACTCCCAGACCGGCAACTGAAGACGCTTTTTTAAGATCTCATAATAGCGTGGCGTGTGGGGCAGGTTGGTGAATGGATTGATGCCTTGAGGTACTGCTGCCGGCTTTACTGTTGGAAGTCCAGCGGGTATGAAAGGGGGATTTGATGCACTACGCGAATCCTTATCCTTGTCCCTATCTCTTTCACGATCTCTATCTCTGTCCCGGTCTCGATCCTTTGATCGGTCATCTCTATCTCGATCTCTGTCCTTCCTAAAAGCAGGGAAAAGATCAAGTTAATGTATGTTAAAGCAAACAGTAACAAAGGTGAAAGAAATAGATTAAGTTAGTGTATGTTAAAGCAAACCGTAAAATAAAGATGACTGAATCTACCAGAGAAAGCAAAATCATCCAAGCAACAGTAAGATTTAGGGTCTGTTCACCCCAGATGCTGGCAGCCTTACCCAGCACAGCTGCAACATATAGACTAGGCAAAAAACACTTGTTTTCGGTGCAATTTACACCACAGCATTGCAGTGAAAAAAATGTGATCACTGCAGCATGTTGTGATGCAAACCATAGTATTGCAACAATGCTGCGGTGTAAAACAAAATGTAATTAAATGTAATTTATCACGTAAAATAAAAAAGAAAGTGGAAGACAATAATTGCGATGCACTGTGATCGGCATTGGCACTAATCCTCCTAGCACATACCAGTGGTCATGTGTTCCGTGTGGCTCGCTGGTGTGAACCTGCCCTTAGTGTTATTCGTTTAAGAAAAGGTGCATCTTTAGAGAAAGGCAAGCAAGAGTTAAATCCATCTTTTACCATTCTTACCCCGGAACTGTTTGCAGGCATCAGCTCAATACAAACTCTAAGTGTTACAGACAGAAACGTTTCCAGACATAGCAATAGACAGCAATATTAAAGCAAACTGATAAATCCTCCAAATCGTGAGGACTGGTATTTACTCTAGGACTAGGTAGGATTATGAAGCCATTAGATTGAATCTTGTCTATAGCAGGCACTTTAAAGAAACCAGAGAGAAACCTACACTTCCACTGACAGAAGAAAAGGCTCCAAGGAGTTACTAGCAGCTGTCATTTTTTTGGGCGCGATGCCAACCAGTCTTCTGAGAATTTACTCATCTTGATTTTGTGTGCATCTAATGTAATCCAACATGATCTCTACTTGTGCAGATTGCAACTTTATGAAGAAAACCTATTACCCAGTCTGCCAACTGGACCTTGACTGAGATTACAGGGCACAAAGCACTACAAAGGAATGTGGATATTTCTGTATATTTGGTTTGTTAGATTCAATACACAAAAAAACGTGATCAGATTAAAAATGTTAAAATGGTTTTCATTTTTTAAAATCAGATAAATATAGAAATACTGCTCGTGAATATTTCATCTTTGCAACTTCCAGCCAACAGGTGAAGCTCTGGGCTTCTGTTTTCATGTTTACCCAGCAAATGTTAAGTGCCCGTACACATCAGACAGTGCGTTCCGGCCCGATTCTGGCTGGAACGCACTGCAGCCGGCTCACTTTGTTATGGGGCGGAAGGGGACGTGGTGGTGCTTTCACCTCAATGGCACTGTACCATTGAGGTCACTGTTATGCTGGAGTTCAGTGTTAAAGATCTGGGAAAGCTCACAGGTAGGTTTTAGAAGTCACTGTGACCAATTACTCCTTAAAACATTAATTCTCTTATGTAGAGCAATACTGTTGTAAAAAAAAGCCAAGTTCCAGACATTCACAGATTTAAAACATGGCCCTCAATAGGTTTGTTGGACAGAAAATGATGTCTGCATATTAGTTGCAACTTGCAAAAATGGACGCGCAATCAAGCACTCGACTGTGCTGCAATGTATTGCAGTACGGCATGTTGTGGCGAGGTCAAGCGTCTGCGAGGTGCGTTTGGGGTGCCAAAACAAATGGCAACACACCTGCTGCACTGTAATGCATGGTAGAGATGTTGCGACTTAGCATGTGTTAATTGAAAGGCACAGTGAAATAACGCACGGCATTGGCGTGAATGGGCCTTTCGGAATTATAAAAAATGGCTACAATAGTAGCTGAGAAATTCTTGTGATCTCTTGAAATGAGAGAATTGCACACTTCTAAATCGCAGTCATGCAATAAATGTGCACTGCACACGCGCCTTCTAAAGTCACATGACCACCTCTACAAAACGCAGTTTTCTCTGTTTTGTCCTCCAGCTGGTACGCCATTAGTTGTCTCAGGCTCAATAACATACATTTCATGAATGGGCTGCAAAATGCACTCCGTGGTAGTTAAGACTGAAGTGAACTTGAGAGTGGGCAGCAATATCCGCTCATTATAAATTGATCGTCATACTTAAATCAAGATTGTAATGCAAGGAAATTAAGCAGAAAAAAATGTGGTAGGTTGTCAGAATTTTCTTTAGTCTCCCCAACAAGCATTAGAACTAGACTGAGATGTTTTTAATGTGACAATCTTTTCCAGTTTGCAAAAATTTCAACCTAAATTGCAGGGCAGAGACATCGATCGGCTTCTGATTAGTTGGCCCTGTTCACGGCTCCACACACGCTGCACCTCCTCCCCACCTCACACTCTCCGCTGCCAGACCCGCCCGCATCCACACCTTCTCCCTGCCTCCCGCTCACCACCCGCCCACATCCACGATCGGAAAAAGGTGCGAGGAGAAGAAGTAAAGTGGAGCAGGTGTGGGGGAATGACAGCCGCCGATAGACAGGCCCGATCTCAGAAGCAAGTTGCTGGAAGACTGCTCAGGTAAGCCTGCACTTTCCCACACATGGTGCTCTATAATGTATTGCTGGGATTTGTAGTCCTCTATAGCTAGTGGTTTTCGGGATTGCTTCACTATATAATGTATTATTGCTGGGATTGTTTTACTATAGCTGGTGGTATTCTGCATTGCGCTGCATAGAGGATTACAAATCCCAGCAATTATACAGCACAATGCGGAATACCACCAGCTATAGTAAAACAATCCCAGCAATAATACATTATATAGTGAAGCAATCCCGAAAACCACTAGCTATAGAGGACTACATAACCCAGCAATAGTACATTATACAGCGCAATGAAGAATACCGCCAGCTATAATGTACTATTGCTGGCATTTGTTGCATTCCTCTATAGCTGGTGGTTTTCTGCATTGCGCTGTATAATGTACTATTGCTGGATTTTGTAGTCCTCTATAGCCGGTGCCATTCTGCATTCATTGCTGTATAATTTTATACTTTCCATTTCACTATATTGCACACAACACTTTTTTTTTCTTTTTTACTTCCACCGCTCCAAGCTTGCTCCTGTGATGGACTGCAATCTCAATACAAACTATTAGTCCCATCACTAGAGCCATTTTAAAAAAAATGTAATCGTACTTCCGCGAACGAGCACATATAGGCGATCGGCGGGCTATGGACCCGCCGATCGCCTATATGTGAAACACCCGGTAACGGGTGTGTGCATTTAGCGGGTCTTTTCTGCCCGTGCGTGCCCGCTAGGGGGCGCGCGCGAGCAGAAAAAAATTGCCGTCTGGAGACGGCAACCCGCAGATGCTGCAGTGCCGTCCGTCCGTTTTTTTACTACGGGCGGACGGCAAGAGGTTAATAATCGGCTAACTAATCGTTAGCTGCAGCTCTATCCACATTTACTAACTACCACATGGGAGAGGATTTATTGAGTAACAGAAAGGCACAAACACCTGACAATCATGTTAATCCCTATCTCTAGCCAAAACAAAAATAAATATAACTTATATGATAGCCCATGATTACACTCTTGTCAACCTACAGAAGAAAACTGATTAGAGCCCATGGGACTGCAAAGCACATGTACCAGGTGGAAGAGGAGTGATACAGATGCCAGTTGTACACTATAAAGCATTATGACCACTGTGGTAAGTTGGTGCTAGCAATGACAGAAGATGGTGCCGTGCAGATCTCAATGCAAGAGGAAAAGTCACCAGCACTCCATTAAAGATGAAAACGTGAACACTTTTATTAGGGTTGTGTCATATTGGGGTGATGCAGGGACCCTTCCTCAAGGAGACATAGGGCTGCCTTGGGGACTTTTCCTCCTCTTAGGTGAAAGGGAGATTTCCCACTCATGTCTCTAAAGAACCAAACTGCCAAGTGACATGCAGCAGGTCCTGCATAACAAGGGGAGTATATTTTATTTCTAATGGAACAGAGAAGATATTTGTATTCTGTGATATAATTGTGGTGTTCTACTTTAAAGTGACACTAAACTCAGGAGTTACATTGAAAAAATGCATTTTAATACCTTATTAACAACAATGTATCTTATTTGTATATCACTCGGCTGTAGATCCTCAAATCATCTCTGAATTAGTGCTGACACTGTCCTTCCTTCTAGAGGGTGGCTACTTTTGTTCCCCATGGTCCCTGTGTGTTGTAAAGTAGTCACCGCTCCAAGCTCACTCCCGTGATGGACTACAATCTCATGTTTAGTGTAGTAATTTGTATTGCAGTTATAGTCTATGACAAGAGTGAAGGACAGTGTCAGCACCAATTCAGAGATTATTTGAGGATCTACAGCTGAGCGAGACAAATAAGATGCATTGTTGTTAATAATTAAGGTATTGAATGCATTTTAAAAAATGTAACTCCTGGGTTTAGGGCTCTCTTGAAAGCTTATCTAAATATGACTTTTCTCGGCTCCCCCCTGGGCTCAGCCCACAACTCTTTTCAGTTAATTTCAGACTATTATTTTTTGTCTCCACAGGCTCAGCTACCACAGTATAAGCATTTCACAATCTGTATAATTTTCTCCTTCAAATCAAACTACCTTGTGGGAGACTGCAGCAAGGCAGTAAATGTGGCCAGACATATTCAGCCCCTTCTGTTCCTCAGCAGGTAAAGTGATGAATCTAAACTATGTACACTTTCAATCATAGAGGCCATGGTCACCAGGCAAGTAAGTGAAAGTAAAACTCCACAAGACCCAGATAAGAATAAACACCTGGCAAAGATACTTTCTCACTATCAGAAGGTACAAGACAGACTGATGCTTTGCCATGTGTTCCGTGAACAAAGTTACATAAATGCAGTGTCTTAAAGTGAACCTTTACCCCTTCCACTAAAAATTCCCATCAGAATACAGCTCTACATCCTGATATGAAATCACCTACCATCATTAAATAAACATGTTTTTATTTTACATAAAATTACTGTTTAGCCACTTCCTGGTCCTCTTAGGCATTAGTGATGTAGCCAATACCTAAGATTGGAGTGCAATCTCAATACAAACTAGTAGTCCATCACTGGAGCCATTTTTTTAAATTTGTTTTATTGTTTATCCGATTAACCGATTAATCGAACTTAATAATCGGCTAACTAATCGATTTTGAAAATAATCGTTAGCTGCAGCTCTAGTTACATTAGCACCACATTGCTGGAAAACCTCATCTCTGTAATCTCATGCAATCTCAAGGCATTTTCCTCCCCTGAGATGATGTGCATTGTCACATGTCCTAATCACATGTGCCAGAGTTCCAGGAAGTAAAGGGAGATATAATAATCTCCTTTAGTAAAAAAATGGGGAGAAAAATAATTTAAAAATGTGATGTTTCAAAGTCTGACCAAAAACCGTGGGAAGCTGGAAGAGCTAAAAACAGTTGATGTAAATACGTCTTTTTTGGGATGTACACGTTCTTCCTAAGGCCTTTAAAACAATTCATACATAGGCATTCCACAGACCACTTAGTCACGCAAGTGGCCATCCTTTGCCTCCTACCACGTAATGTCATTTCACACAATGCACACACCTTACAACCATCGCAAGACTTTTCTCTTGCAATGGTACTAAGGTCATTTAAAAAAACGTACGATCTGCCTATCTTAGACAGGCAGATCATACTTGCAATGATCGCAACCCGCGCCGCCCTGAGGGGCGGGCTTCCGATGACCGCAATCCCGAATGGGCAGTGTGCACTTGCGCACACCGGCCCGTCCGGCTTTTATCTTACAAACATGCTACACACCGACCGAAAATCGTACGATGCTCAGCAGGTTTTCGAACATGTTCGTAAGTTAAAAGTCGTGCGACCTTACAGAAGTAGAGGCCGCTTCCACACACCTTACGATAATCGTACGATCGCGGGATTTCCCGCGATTATCGTATGATTATCATAAGGTGTGTGGGCACCCTTACATGTGCATATAAAGATGTGCTGGATGTTTACAGTGTGTCAACACACAATTCTAAAAGATGCAATCACAAGCTGATCTAGAAATAAATCAAATATACAATAGATATAAATTGAAATACAAAGAAAACACACTACTTTTTCCTGGAATGTTTAAAAGGAGAACTATGAGGTGCACGTTTTTTGCATTTTTAGTTTCCTTATGATACAGGAATGTTTTGCAATGTACTACTGAAATAAAAAATGCACCGTAAGCTGGCAATTCAATATAATATACTGTGGGTGGGGCTAAACTCTGTGCCGAGAAGCGATCCCGACAATATTATCGAGATCCCCCTCTCCCACTGAGTGACAGCAGCTTGTAGGAGCTGCTGCACGTTCATGAGTTCAAGGGGACATCCATCCTGCAGTTTGTCTTTCGTTCCCCCCTCCTCGCCATACTGCTGCCTACAGACAATACTCATACCACATCCACCCTAGGACCGTTAGTTCAGCTCTGTCCTCACCCCCCTCTCTCCTCCACTCTGCTGTCTATCTCTTCTCCCTGTCTGTCCCGAGGCAGCAGAGAGAAGGATGGCGAGGAGGGTGATCATAGACCTGTGACCAGACATGAATAGACTGATAGGATGTGCCCTGAGCTACTGAGGCTCTACAGGTTCTCATGAATGCGCAACAGCTTCTACAAGCTGCTGTCACTCAGTGGGAGAGGAGGCTCCATACTCTTCTCAGCACAGAGTTTAGCCCCTCCCACAGTATATTTAGCTCAATTGTAAGCTTACGGGGCAGTTTTGATTACAGGAGTACATTACAAAACATACTGTTGTATCAAAAGGAAACAAAAAAATGTGTACCCCATAGTTCTCCATTAACCCTTCGCTGTCACCGACTTAAGGTGGAACACAACCGCTTGCAGCTGCCCACATCAGTAAGCCTTACAATGGTGGCTTCCACACTTCTACTATAAGCGGAATGACTATCCCCTGTAAATTAATAGCGGTCATCAGTGGCTGAAAAAACGCTGACGACAGCTATTAAAAGAGAATTATGAGGCAAGTGATTTTCATAATCTGAGCCGACCTGTGACAATGAAACTGTCACAGGTCAGCGCAGTAGATCAGGAAGTGAGCGAACATATACCGTCGCTCGCTCACTTCTCGATCTATCCCTGCAGAGAGCTGTGACTGTCACTCACAGCTCCCTGCAGGGATTCCACCCCCTCCGATCCCCCAGCGCTGACTGTTCATTCATGAGTTTTTGAATGGGTAGAAGCAGCTGAGTACATAGGCTCCTACCCATTCATAACTGGATACGTGTTTTCTATCTCCAGTTTGTGAATGAATGGGGAGCGTCTGTACTGAGTGCTTTCCATTCATGCATAACAGGGGCTGTAGAAAAAAAAAAGAGACCGCGGACTCTGTGTCCTCAATTTCTTTTTCTATTACAAAAGAGAAATGTCAGGGGTCTGTCAACTTTGTGGCAGCGCATGGCAAAGAGTAGGGCTGCAGCTAACGATTATTTTCATAATAGATTAGTTAGCCAATTATTAAGTTCGATTAATTGGACAAAAAAAAGGCTCCAGTGATGGACTACTAGTTTCTATTGAGATTGATGTCCTTCACGGGAGAAAGCTTGGCACGGTGGAAGTAAAAAATAAAGTGTGGTGTGCAATTAGGTACATTATACAGCCGCACAGTGCAGAATACCAGCAGCTATAGAGGAATGCAGCAATAGTACATTATACTATACTGTACTACTGCTGGGATTTGTAGTCCTCTATAGCGGCTGGTATTCCGCAGTGTGCTGTATAATGATTATACGGCACAATGCAGAATACCAGCAGCCATAGAGGAATACAACAAATGCCAGCAATAGTACATTATACTATACTATTATGTATATAATGTATTATTGCTGGGATCTGATGTATTCCTTTATAGATGGCATTATTTGTAGTCCTCTGTAGCTGGCGTTATTCTGCATTGCGCTGTATATAATGTATTATTGCTGGGATTTGTAGTCCTCTATAGCTGCTGGTATTCTGCAGTGCGCTGTATAATGATTACACGGCGAAATGCAGAATACCAGCAGCTATATAGGAATACAACAAATGCCAGCAATAGTACATCATACTACCGTATAATGTACGATTGCTGGGATTTGTAGTCCTTTGTAACTGCTGGTATTCTGCATTGCGTTGTATATAATGTATTGCTGGGATTTGTAGTCCTCTATAGCTGGTGGTATTCTCCATTTCGCTGTATAATGATTATACTGCGCAATGCAAATTACCACTGACCAGATATAGAGGAACAACAAATCCCAGCAATAATACATTATACAGGCTGCTTAATGTATTATTGCTGGGATTTGGTGTTCCTCTATAGCTGCTAATGTTCTGCAGTGTGCCGCTTTTTTTTAAACACAGGGGTGTGGAATTCGTATCGCCCGACGCCCGGGACATGTAGTTCCGGGCAAAGTTGTGTTGTCACTATTTTAGCCCTGCTACGGACAAGTAGCAGGGCTGGTTTTTTTTCTTAAACGAGCGTCGAGAGCAGCGCTGCGAGCTGGGGGCGTGGAGCGCCGAGAGCGTGGACGGAGCGCTGAGAACTGGGGATGGAGCGGAGGGCGTGGAGCCGTGACGTGGCACGTGGAGCAGTGACAGGCTCTGTCACCTCCCTCAGCCTCTGTCCCCGGCGGCCGCTGCTCGTTCCTATCACAGGAGGTTCTAGCAACAGTGCTGGGCTAGAACTCCTGTGTTGGTCGGTATTGCAGCAAGAAAAACGCGCAATCTGCCTGGCATGACCGGGGTGAAACCGAGTGGATGGCTGGGGGGGTCAAGGAATCGCACACCACCGCCGATCGTGCGCAGTGCATGTCGTGAAAATAGGTACATCTACCTTTTTTTCAGCGATTGCCACGCAGATGTAACCCCATACATGCGGATGCAACCGCTGTATCCCACCGCACACAATCGCACGTTCCGGGAATCCCCAAGTCTGCACCAACCCTAAAGGGTAAATTCACTTTCCCAAGTAATTTGGGAAAATGGAATTGCCCGCACAAATCTCCCTCCCACTATACTTACCTTTCGGCAAATGGTCCTTCCCGTCCACCAGTATGGGTGTACTATCTGTACCTGTTCCATGTATTCTGAATTTCGCTCGCAAATTGCAAGCACTCGTTGGTCAACGCAGTCACCTGACGGCACTGACCAATGATAAGCGCTTCTTAGAACTACTAAATACGGTTTTGGTTAAAATTATTATTTTTTGTATCAGGACAAGTAGATTGTCATGAGGGACAAGTAGATTTGGCCCCCGCTTTAGTCCTTGGACAAGTAGTTTTTTCTAAAATTTCCACACCCCTGAAACCGGAAACATTAAAACAGGTCCCCCTTACCCGTTTATGAATCGTTGTAAGTCGCTGCAGCGGCGTGCTCTGCGGTGAGCTGGTACGCGGCGTAACTCGTGTATGGAGCCGCCAACAGGTGGGCGTGAGCGGCGAGCGGGAAATTTAATTTTTAGCCGCGAAATCGACGATGGAAAACGCTGACAACGTTTTTCATCGTCGACTTTAATCGGCTTAATCTAATAATTGTTGCAGCTATGCAGAATACCAATGTATAATACATCGGCACGCTGCAGAACATGAGCAGCTATAGGGGGAACAACAAATCCCAGCAATAATACATTATACAGGGTGTATACAGGGTGTTTAATGTATTATTGCTGGGATTTGTTGTTACTCTATAGCTGCTAATGTTCTGCAGTGTGCTGCTTTAAAAAAAACAGGAAACATTAAAAAGCTCCCTGCCGATCTCGACTCACTTTGAATGACGATGTTGTCGGCGGGCAGCGGCGTTGTTGGTTGTCGGCGGGCAGCGGCGAGTCGGGAAGCTCACCGGGAGGAGAGGGCCAGATGCATGTCCTCAGCGTGTGCGGTAGGCTTGGCGCGAGAGCGGCTTAGCCGGCATGGGCGTGTCACGAGCGGCGGACGTAAGAGGGAAATTTGAATTTTAGCCGACGAATCGACGATGGAAAGCGTTTTCCATCGTCGAATTTAATCGCCTTAATCGAATAATTGTTGCAGCTCTAGCAAAGAGTTACATATTGCCGTGCTGCGATTAAATGTACGCATGTAGATGGATCTTATGTTCAGTTTACTCATTTGTATTGATATTCTAGTCCATCACGGGAGTGAGCTTGGAGCGGTGGTTGCTTTACAACACACACAGGGACCATAAGAAAACAAAAAGTAGCCACCCTCCAATTCAGAGATGATTTGAGGATCTACAGCCAAGTGAAATACAAATAAGATACATTTTTGTTAATAGTTAAGGTACTTGAATGCGTTAAGATTTAACTCCTGAGTTTGGTGTCACTTTAAGACCCATCAGTTATTTGTTTATCCGTCTCATCTGGGAGATTTCACTTCCTGCTCCAAAGACACAGCAAAGGGAGGAGATTCTCCAAAGTGAGAGCATGATCCTATAGCTTATTTCCAGTGTAAAGGTGACACTGGTGGTCTTTTGGACCCCCAGCATCACCTTAAAGAGCAGTCAAAGTTAAAAAAAAAAAAGCTATTTCAATTAAAATTAAATAAAATCAATCTAATAATAATCAAAAAAAATTTTAAAGTCTCCCGCCCCCGCGCGTCGCCACGTAAACACATGTCGGGTGCGCCTACGTATGAAAACGACGAACGCGCTACACATGTTGGGTATCGCCGCGCACGCCGGAGTGAGAGCAATAATTCTAGGGCCAGTATTTTGGGGTATCTCTAAATTGATGACCTGTGGGGGCTTTTAAAGCGTCTTCTATGGACTTTTTGGGGTACTGGGGTTTTTCGCCGTTTTACGGATGCACGCAATTTGTAACCTGGGCATGTTGGGTATCGTTTTACTCGTTGTAACCTCATCTTTTATATTTCATTAAAAAAATTGGTATTTTGTTGTGTTTTGGGGCATTAAATTAAATTTTTCACTAAATGTTGGGGTTTAATAAGGAGTTGCGCTAATATTGCGAAACATAAAAATTTGCAACTACCACCCTTTTATTCTACAGGGTGTTGGCATTCAGAAAATATATAATGTTGGGGGGTTTTAAGTCATTTTCAGGCCTAAAATGTGGAATATAACATGGGTGCAAAAAATGAAAAAAGGGCCTCAGTCATGAAGGGGTTAAACAGGTGTCCCCAATAAAGGATTCCCCCTCATTTCCTGCTGTGACAACTCATTAATTTAGGATTTGTCTCCTCTCTGTATCTGGACATAACAAGAGTGAATCTTCAGAGCGAGAACACAAACAAAAACCTGAGATGTGTTCTACAACTTTCCCATTCTATCATCACACAGATGCGGGGCTTTGGGAGTCACATGACTACACAGGGAAAAAAAGGTGGGGGTGTTATAAAGTCTTAGCATCTATTACGGTAGGTATTTGGATAGTGTGGTGAGGGGTTACATCCCCCCCATCAGGTTATTACAGTCCGTGTGTCCATTAGAGGGATTCACCTTTATTTGTTCTGCTAACCCTTTGTCACAACTGAAAAACAAAATTTTGAGTTGTCACCAGAAGGCAAATCTATCAATGGGGACACCTGTTTAATAAGGTACTATAAATCACAACGAAGAGGTTTCCTTTCCCATCCTGCCGTCCCTACAGAACCGGAAGTGCAGAAATCTCAAAATGACATAAATAGAACCAAACCCGACAGGCGTTTCCACCGTTCTGTACTGGTAAAGAAAAGAAAGCTTCTGGTTCAGTATTCAGTTCTACTTCTGGAAGGGCTGAAATGTCTCTCCATCACCTGAGGTAACACTGACGGATCGCCTACATTAGCATACACACAAGGCTGCCGCACAAACTCCGATAACCGAGAGCTGCGACCACCGGCAGAAGAGCTCGGACTCCATTTAGTCACCTCGCACACATTCCCTGCCAAAAGCATCCCCGCAGCCACCATCGTGCAGCTAGGCCGCAGCCGGCACAGTCAGGCCTTTCGAATCAGGCCGCCGCCATATTCCTGCGCGGACAAAGGAAGCATCCTAGCTCGCTCGGCACTCACCCTTCCCTCTTCTTGTTCGTGGCATAGTCGTCGCCCAGGTCCAGCCGGTGCCGCTTCGACATGGCCTCTGCTTCTACCGCCTCGGAGGTCACGTGTCCGTGCTAAGGCCGTACGGAGGAAGAAAGCGCGCCGGGGCTCAGGAACGCGAGAAGGGGGAGGGCGCATGCGCTGTGACACCAGCGGGGTAAGGGAGGTGTGAGCGGCGACACGAGGCGAGAGAAGCAAAGCGATTGGACGGCCTGGGGCGCACGAGGGGCCTAGGATTGGAACATTGCATGGCCTATCAGACGAACGCACGTAGACGTCATCACGTCTGGACAGCTGCTTCACGCGATGTGTGCGATGCCGAAGGCTAGAGTGGGCGGTGCAGAGAAGAGAGGGGCGATGCAGGGAGGACGAGTCCAGCGCATGGAAGGTCAGGGGAACACAGGGGGCGGTGCATAGATGAAGGGGCGGTGCCGGGAAGATAGGGGCGTGTTCATGACTGATTATTGCGTTAGAAGAGTGACAGTGAAGTGGTGTATTACTCATGGCGGAGGATCTGGTTTTGTGTGTTGCAGCGATGTTCTAGAAAACCTTCAATGAGAGACATGGGGGCTGCCATGCCCTTTGAAATGTGAATTGCCTGGCTGTTATTCTAATCCTTTACTACTTTGAGGCTCCGATCAGTATGCATTGGCAGTTCTCCTATTTCTCTCTAGAAAGGTTCACTTTAAAGGCATTTTTTATAATTAATTATACATATGAAAGGGGTGAGCAATGGTATCAATGTGTAATAATGTTATAAAAACATTGATTCCGTGTACAGTTTATAATAGTGTATATAGGAACAGACATACAGTATTTGCACATTACATATACAGGCTCTGCTTCCTGCTCTGCACTGCTATTTAGTGGTTGAGCTTTACTGCTCTTTATCACCATTTTCAGACACGTAAGTCTCCTTTATCAGACAGGTAAGTCTCCTTTATCAGACAGGTAAGTCTCCTTTATCAGACAGACTTCTTCAGGGCTTAGCGTCTTGTACCATGTGGATGGGCCAGCTCTTGATGACGTAACTCCAGGGTCTGTGCACAGGGTCGGATTCCTCACAAGCCCATAGAGGCCATAGCTTTGGGGTAGCAGGGAGTAGAGGGGCGGCACAGTCGATACTGGCACTTTAAATTTTGTAGGAAGTTTGGCTGCCTGAGGTCCTGAGCTTGCTGGGGACCTCAGGCAGCTGTCTTTGATAGTGCAGGTCTGGCTGCACATTGCCTCCTTTTCCTTCCCGGTGCCGGCACAGCACAGGGCAGCCCTACACCTGCCTGTACAGCCCTGGATCCCGGCACAGGCCTGGATCCCACCCGTTCAGCCCTAGAGAGCCCAGCAGCCACATGCAGAGCCCTGGAGAGACTTCCATGCATCCTGCTGAGATCTACACACAGCCCTGGTCAGACCTAAACGCACCCCTGTATAATTGCTGTGTAGTCATGGATTGAGGGGATCTGTAGTCCTCTATAACCAGCTGCCATTCTCCATTGCTGTATATCTAATGACTACAAATCTCAGCAATTCATGATTGCTGGTTGCCATTGAGGAACCTGGCCTTGGAGCAGCAGAGAGAGTAAATCCGGCCCTGTCTGTGCACAGTTAGTTCATCCCAGCACAAAGCATGCCATGTGTACATTGAGCTGCCCATGCAGTGTTCAGTGTGCATTTAGAAGCGGAGATTTCATTGCAGGAGAGACATGCAACAGTGTCTTCAGGAATAAAAGTCTGTCTGCCGTCATTTTATGGCATTGAGATGAGCTCTGAAGTAGGAAAACATCATCTACATACAAGAGTCCTGTGTATCCTTACTGGAATCTTGTTTTGTGTATTTCTTCCAGATCTGTGCAGTTATTCCCTTTTAAATGAGTGTCCTGTAATATAGACCGGCCACCGCTGCTCTCTCTCCTTGTGCTGGGTGAGTGGTCTTGTATCCGCCCCCTCTTGTAGTTTTCGGCAGGCAGCCTGTAGTGGGTCCCTTCCACAGCTCTGCTCTCTGCACAGGCTATGTACAGCACAGTGATGATGTCACTAATTATGTTTTATATGGTAATGGCTGAGTTTGTAAAGGCATCCGGTGTACACAAATTGTACACCGGATGCTCCCTTGTCACTTGTGACGAGAGAGCATGGAGCCAGCTTCCAGGCCAATCCGGAAGCCGGGCAGCATGTAATGACGCGCTGCCCGGCATCCTGATTGGTCGGGAAGCTGGCCGATCAGTAAGCCCTGCGCCGTGTAATGACGAGGCGCCCGGGCATCTGATTGGCCAGGAAGCCGGTTTCATGCTCCCTCTTCACCTCATGACGAGGGAGCATGGAGCCGACTTCCCGGCCAATCAGGAAGCGAGGCGCCACATCATTACACGGTGGCCAGAAAGCCGACTCCATTCTTTCTCATCACCTAGTGATGAGACGCATGGGGACGGCTTCCCTGCTAACTGGGAAGCCAGGTGGCGAGTCATTACACGCCGCCTGGCTTACTAAATTGGACTTCCAGTATTTGGTATGGGCGCAAAAAAAAAATATCGGTACTTGTACTCAATACCGAAATACCGGTATCGGTGCATCCCTAGATACAACACAACGCTTGTAGGAAGAAGGTTCTCACATAAAAGGTAAATCTGATATCTGTAATTCTTTGCAGTATTCAATACTTAGACAGGAATAGTCCAGGAAGTAGCATGGGAAGGTATATTACACCTACAGAGCTGAGTCACAGGCTCACGATGAGTCGGAAGGGGAGTTGCGTAGCAGCTCAGCTACGAAATTCCTTTTTCCATCATATGAGACAGATGAGCTGTTGAAAGCCATAGGGGATACGCTGGATATTAAGGAAGAGTTTTTTGTTTTTTGCCCCGTCAGAGCTGGTGCTCCAACAAAAACTGGAGCTGGCTATACTGCACTTGGAGAGTTTGGGTTGGTTGGTGAACAGGGAGAAGTCACAACTGGTCCCCGCACAGAGAGTGAAGTTCCTGGGTTATTGGATCGATACCCGGGACATGACCATTACACTGCCAGAAGACAAAGTGTCGCTCTTGGTAGAGGAGTCGCTGAGACTGCAGTTACGGAGCACAGCCTCAGTCCGTTCGGTAATGAGAATGGTCGGTCTCATGACGTCTACCATCCCTGCTGTTACCTTTTCCCTTTTCTATTTAGACTCTTTTCTATTTAGGCTGTTTAGACTCCTAATATTTCCCTGAAACCCCCCCAATAAAATAATAAAAATAAAGTGAAAAATCTTGGAGGCAGGTGCTGGGTGACGCCACACACCTGTTAGAGGGCACTTTTTTTTCTTGCCACGTGCGCAAAAGGAGCTGGCTACGGCTATGCTCCCGCGGTACTCGTGCGGCTGCCGGCTGAATGTGTCAGACGCCGCAGACGGAAAGGGGCGAGACACCTCCCCCGTTTGCAACGTCGGCCACACAAGCACCGCTGGAGGACAGGACGCCTACGCCTCTAGAACGCACTGGAATGCAAGCCAGCCAAAATCCCTGCGTTTGGGGGCGGAAGGGGGCGTGGGGTTGCACCGCAGCCATTTCCCCCGCCCACAGTTCGATCGCCCGCACCCGGAATGCAGGCACAATAGTGCATGCATTCCGGTCCAGTGTGATCTGTAAAAATAGTGCTTGCAGCATTTTTGCGTATCGCACTGGACCGGAACGCAGGTTGCGGGTGCAGGTGATCGCACTGTGTGCGAGGGGCCTGGCTGCAGTGCCATTGACTTCAATGCCCCGCCCCTGAACGCAGGTGCCTTTTTGTTGAAAAATTGTGGGTGCCCCTGGTCTACAACATTACCCAGACACTGAGTATTTCAGAAATCCCGCCTTTAACCTGACAGCTGTGTAGAGGGAGGAGGAGCAGCATGACGACGTAGGAGTAGGCAGCGTCAGATGCTGATCCCAGAGCGAGAACAGGTAAGTCTGTTAGAAGGTCATGGAGTGGCCTAGACAGTCTACAGACCCAGTGGCCTAACATTCTGCCCCGGGCGCCCAGAACTCTGGTTACGCCACTGTCCAGACCTTAATCCTATAGAAAATGTATGGAGGGAGCTGAAACTTTGAGTTGCCAAACGCCAGCCAAGAAACCTTAAGGATTTAGAGAAGATCTGTAAAGAAGAGAGGACCAAAATCCCTCCTGAGATGTGTGCAAACCTGGTAAACCAACTACAAGAAACGTCTTACCTCTGTGCTTGCCAATAAGGGATTCTCCACCAAGTACCAAGTCATGTTTTGCTTGGGAATTAAATACTTATTTTACTCACTGAACTGCAACTCAATTTATAACATTTGTATCATGTGTTCTTTCTGGATGTTTGGTTGATATTCTGTCTCTATCATTTAAAATACACCTGTGATAAGAATTATAGACCTTTCATTTCTTTGTAGGCGGGCAAACTTACAAAATCTGCAGGGGATCAAATCATTATTTGCCACACTGTATCTTTCCCTTTGCTGAACTGCACTCCGATGGTGTGATATGGTCCCCCAGCATCTGCTGGGAAAGCTTTGGGGAGTACTAACCAATGCTACGCAGATTTACTACGAGGTTACAGCTTGAGTCATAAATTCCTCTTGATATAACATATAGAAATTCAATATAGAAATACATATTAGACATGTGCACTGCCAAAAAATTCATTTAGTTTTAAATTTGGATATGTGTTATTTCGGGATTCGGGTGTGAAAGTCAATTCGGATTCGGACGAAATTCGGTAGCGGTAGTTCATTCGAACGTTCGTTTCGTTTTCGTTTCTTATTCGTTTCGTTCATTCGTTTGTTCGTTTGCAGCAAAGTGACATTTGAGGGGGAAAATGTTTTTCTCCTTCTCTAATGTCACTTTGCTCCAATGAACGAAATGAAGAAGAAACGAACGTTCGAACGAACTACCGCTACCAAATTTTGGAAACGGAAATTCGGATTCATTTGCATTCGTTATATCTGTAATTCGGAATTCGGATACATCCAAATGTCCGAATTTCCGAAAATTCGTCCGAATTTCGATTCGGAACGAAACGAATCGCACACGTCTAATATATATTTATCTTTCGTTTTTGACCATAGATGCTATTTTAAGATCTGTAATTTGTGGAGGGCTATTGCAAAGTATAAAAATCTTACCTTGCGCCATGCTGTCTCCTACACATAATGC